TTCTTTTTGTACTTGTCATTTGCTTTTGAGTTGTTTATTGACTATTATATTTTATTGCCTTTTTAGTTCTAAAGTTTTGCTCTATAAGTTTTTACAATAGCATAACATGATATTTGTACTTCATTGATTTTAGTGTCTCTTCCTCTTTTAAAATCTTTCAAGTTACAGAATATGATAAAAAAAATCAACCTAAAGTTTGTGATAACAAATATCAGTTACGCATCTCAATTATATGTCAAAACCAAATGAAGTTATACTTAAAAGTGATGTAAATACACCAAAATCAAATGTTAATTTATTGATTTGATTTAGAAGAGCAACGTGAGTGAGAGTTTTCATAAGTTGGAAAATACCATCAATCAAGATACTTATTTTTGGGGTTTTGAAATTTTAGTTTGGTAATCTTTTATAGAATTAGAGAAGGAAACATAAGAATTCTAATAGTTATAAATACTTTATTTGGATTTAATATTACAATTTAAATATAATAAAGATAAATAATATTTTAATAAATAGTTATTGAATATGAAAAGTTTTATATGTACGTTAAAAATTAATTGGGTTTTTACATGAAAGAGAAATATAAAAGCACATCTCTTTCTCTTTTTTTATTTAATACACATGTAAAGGAAAATAATAATGAAAATGCATATTACTCCCTTTTAATGCATCTTTTTTTTTTAAGCAATTGTTAAATATAATATTATATATTATATTATATACATAAATGCATATCCTATTTTATGCATAAGGTAGAATTATATATATATAGATTAATTTTAATTAATATCTTACATAATTATGTTGATATAAGACATTTTATAAAAGTAATTATTAAATAATTATAATTTTTATTATAATAGAATACTTAAAAAGTTATGGCTACAATATTTCACAGTAATTCCAAACGAAACCTAATTGTTTAAAATGTTCCACAATTTTTTACAACTTATATATATATATATATGAAAATGAAAAGGTACAAAAATTAATAATGTTCAAATTCAAAATGGAAGATAAATTTACGTATTAAAAATAAAAATAAAAAATAAAAACCGACACAGCCTTAGTAAACATGATCTAATTTTATTTTAATTTATGGGCCCATACAGAAATTATTTTCACTGGACCACCAATGCCACTCACTGCACTCACTATCAAGACCATGGGCTGTATCCTCTGTCTATAAAAATTAGGTTAAACCCCTATTTTGGTCCCTGAACTATTATATGGACGCCTAATTTGGTCCCTAAACTAAAGAAATCCCTAATTTGGTCCTTAAACCTATTGTATGGACCTGAGTTGGTCCTTAAACTATTATACAGACCCTGAATTAGACCCTGAATTAGTCCCTAAATTATTATATAAATCTTCAATTTGGTCCCTACTATTTACCGATTAGCCCCAACTTAGTCCTTCTGTTAAATAATAGTTTAAGAACCAAATTGGGGCAAAATTGTAAACAATAAAGATCAAATTGGAGATCCGCATAATACTTTAAGAACCAACTTAGGCTAAATTATAAAAAAGTGGGGACCAAATCGGGGGTCCGTATAATAGTTTAGGGATCAAATCAAGGATTTCTTTAGTTTAAGGACCAAATCCGAGATCCGTATAATAGTTTAGGGACCAAAATGGGGATTTAACCTAAAAATTAAACAAATGTACGGGCCATAAATTCAGGATTGTCAGATGGGCCGAATATAAACTAAGAATCGTCACGCGAAATGGGTCAGTTCTGCACTCACCCCAACTTGTCTTTGATTTTCTGGAAGCGCAATGCTAGGGGCACTCGCCTCCTGCACTCTCCGGCCAACACTTTCACTCTTATTGGGCCACGTTATTTTGGTTTCCGAGAAGTTGCGCTGAGAGCCTAAACAAGCTTACGTGGCCCAATGAAAGGGGAAGTGCTGGCCGGAGAGTGCAAGAAGCGAATGCCCCTAGAACTGCTCTTTTCTGGAATACTGCAAGTTTTCTCGAGAAAAGGTAAACAAGAAAATTTCCAGGGGGCAAGAAAACGAAATCAATTCAGAATTCATTAATTTCTTGAAGAAAGTTACTGCTAAATTCTTGGATTAACAATTTCAAGTTTAGAAATGTAGATCCCTTGCCCTCTTGCGGCCTTCCACTTTCCCTGAGCTCTCGCCATTTTTTCTTCTTTTTTGTCGTTCCCACCGCCAGATGGGATAGGATCAGAACTTGGGTGCGTGCCCCACCCACATATCAGAACACAATTAGAGATTGTTAATGGTAAGATCTCATCTCGAAATGTAATAAGAAACATGTGTAACTTAAATATAAGGAGGGCCAGCCTTGTGCTGAAGCTCAGGTCTCAATTTTCACAGAGATTTTGCAATTAAGCATATACTCTGTTTCTTTTGGGTTGTGCTTTATAACATATACTCTGCTTCTTAATTTCTGGTGATGTAAGAGCCTACATCTGCAATTAAGCGTTATCTTGTGTTTGTATTCATCTTCTAGTTCGTGTTCCATGCCTTGTTTCCTTCACTTTCGTTTTGCATAGTTACGTAATACATAGATAGGCACACTGGGAAGTAACAACTGGCTTTCAGACCACATGGTCCGTGCTAATGTGGTTGTTTGTTTCTGGTTCCATGAGTTTCATGTGTGGATGAGATGATTGAATAGAACAAAAAAATTCTAAAAAAAACGAATTGAATGGATAACCTTTTTCTCATGTTGTAGTTGGAATTTTGCTTGAGGTTTGTTGCATGATATCTTCAATAAGCAGGAAAATGTTGAGATAAGATGATCCAGCTCTCCTATGGATTTATTTCTTACTGATAGTGCTTTCTTCACCATGTCTGCAAAGTGTCCTTTATTACATGAAGACAGGGTTTAAGTTCTTATCTCTGTTTTATGGCTGGTTCTGGTTGGCTTGCACTCGATTTATGTCCTGGATTAGTAGTGTAATGTTGAGGTAAGAAGATCCTCCTTTTTCTACTGCCTTTACTGCCATGGCTGCAAACTTTTGAGCTCTTTCTCTTCTCTTCTTTCCTTCTTCTCCTTCATCCATTAGCTTCTCTATAGCCTTTGTGACATCTTCCTCTTTCACCAAGACCCCAAATTTCTCTTCATCCCCTAATTGTGTAACTACCGGACTGCCTACCCTCACCCCGATTTCCAGAACTTGCACAATCAATTTCTCGTTGTAAAACTGCTCTCCAAACAGTGGCCAAGTTGCCATTGGGACCCCGGCACAGATCCCTTCAAGTGTCGAATTCCAGCCACAGTGTGTTAAGAATCCTCCAATGGCCTGGTGTGATAGGATTAATACTTGTGGTGCCCAGCCCTTTATCAGGAGCCCTCTTCCTTTTACTCTCTCCTCAAATCCATACTCGGTTAGCCATTTTTCCATTTCCTCCGGTTTGCTGGCTTGTCTTATGACCCAGATGAAAGATCTGTTTGATGCTTCTAGGGCCAAGCCTAGCTCAATCAACTGTGGTGGTGTCAAGCGATTGATGCTTCCGAAACAAACATAAAGGACTGAGTTTGATGACCGAGAATCCAGCCACTTTAAGCACTTGTTTTCATCTATGCAGGTTTTGTTACCTCTTTCGGCCTTGTCTGAGATCTCCTTGTTGCATAAAGAAACAGGACCAATGCACCAGACCTTATCACCAGTGGCCTCTCGATATGCTCTGAGATACTCCGGTTCCAATTCCTCAAAGCTATTAACCAGCACTCCATATGCTCCTTCCTCAGCATCTCTAACTTGCTGTCGCATAGCATTGAGTTTTTTGTTGGATCCTGGGTTGAAGTATCCAGATAACTGTGCTCTTGTGAATTCAATTCGATGAGGCAAACCCGGCACCACAAAAGGCTCCGTTTCAGTTACATGCTTGTAGATCTCAGATTTGTGTAAGTTGTAATTACACAGCAGAGTGAAGCAACTCATCCCATCAAATAATATCCTTGGAATCCTGAACTGGGACGCAGTACTAGCTGCCCATGATATGAATTTATCAGAGACTATGCAGCTTGGAGGTGGTCTCATCTCCATCAAGGACTTCTCAAAGGGCTGCTGCAACATGCTTATTGCAGTAACGAAATTGCCTAACATGTCCATGGAGGGCATACTGTCGACATTTTCACAGCCTTTGGGCAGTCCAGCCTCAAGAGGAAATTCGAGTTGCAGAAATCTGATAGGTAGCCCTGAACTGGTGGCACGATTGACTACAGAAGCAAATCTAGCAGCATTTTGGGGTGTTGTAGCTATGGTGACTGTCACACCCCTTTGTGCGAGTAATCTAGCTATATCAATTATGGGGATAATATGGCCTGGACCCATCAAGGGAATGAACACAAAGTGGGGTTCATAGGTTTGTGAAGCCATTGCAGTGGGAATTCTTGTGCAGACTTTACATAAAAGTAGAATGGAGGTCACTTTAAATAATAAATATGGTAATTGCCTTTTTTTTTTCCAGTTCGTTCTCCATGCCTCGTTTGCTTTGCTTTTAATTTTATATTACTTTGTAACGTAAGTGCATACGTAGGCATGCTGACAATGACAAATAGCTTTTGGACCACACGGGTCTACGCTAAGTTGGTTCTGTTTCATGAGTCGCTTTCGGACCACATGGGTTTTTGCTATTTTATTGAACTCCACGATGATTTATGATTTCTTAAGATATAATTAAACTC